TAAGTAACAGCCTCGACCTGTCTCCGCCCTATGGCGTGACGTCACTTTGGCGGAAAGCGCGCTGTGTTGTATACAGCGGCCGGTGTAGAGAGGAGGCGGCGGTTCAGGTACACATGAGTGGCGGTGTCTTGGTAGGTGACTTGTACGGCTACGTCTGTACGTGTGTGGGGAGGGCTACTATATACAGAGAACGTGTAAGGCTGCGGAAGAGCGCACGGGGTTGACAGACAACAAGGAGGACTATAGGCTGTGAACGTCTCTTGTAAATATCATCCACTGAGGGAACTTACACAAGAATACCACATAATGACAATACTCTGTCTTCCACTATGAGTGTAAATAAACTTTCTTTGGACTAGATTTATTCCGGAGCACTGACAGTTTCTGGCCATCCATCTTGTCTTTTGGTTCTGTACATTTGGCCTCCTTTAGGGCCCATTCACACCATATGCAATGGGCACTGTTCAAACACACAAGCAGGGCAGTTTTCCTTCATATCCTGTTTCAGGTGACACCACATTGGTATGTGCATGAAGAAAAGTAGGATGTACTGCGTGGTCCGCCATGCCGCAATAGATTGAAACGCATTGCTGGCGCGTGGAGTTGAATAAAGTGGGAAAAAAACCCCATAAACACCCGTGCACACCTTAATGGGCAGCTGCTGATGTTTATTTGTCCTAAAGGCCTCTTTCACAAGGGCGGGGTGCGATTCTGATCCGCAGAGGATTTGTGCAGGGATCCCTTCATGATCAGAGCATTACCGAGCGAATGTCATGGTTGTGATATGAGTGCCCGTCCAGTATGTTCCTTTATCTGGCAAAGAAAGGAAAAACCTGAATTTAGCAGGCCCAAGTTAGGTCTATGTTATTATTATACAGGATTTATATAGCGCCAACAGTTTGCTTAGCGCTTTACAATATAAGGAAGACTTTACAGTTACAATACAGCTCAAGACCAGATGTACGAACAGAGGGAGATCGTGTACTGATGTCCCTCTGATCGCTCGTTACTGGCCACATTGGGGCTCGGGATGGGCGGTGGCGGGAGGTTGGGTTGCCACCTGTCCGGGATTCACCTGTATGGTCCAGGTTTTGAATGCTGTGTCAAGGTTTCATGCCAGCTGAAACCCGGACACAAGATGTCAGCCAGACGGGCAACCAATATTGCCCATGAGAGCTTACAATCTAAAAGAGTAAGGGCTTGTTCACACCATGTCTGCATCACGTCCAGACCAGAACAGTTTGTTCCCAGACCAAAAAAGCATTCCATTGCATCCCTATGGTATTTCTGGGCTCTGTTCACACCAGTACAGTGCGTTCTGGACCAGACAAAAAAATACAGCTTGCCTCATTTTCTCTTGCCTGGAGCGCACTGGAATACATGGAAACACATGCAAATGCTGCATCAGAAACTCCATTTAAAGCTACGAAAATAAAATCGCTCCAGAAAGTGGCAAAGTGCAATGCACCGCGTTCCAGATCTGGTCTTGAAAATGGTATGAGCCTGGCCTAAGAGGACATTTGTCTGTTTACATGTGATTACCTCCAATCTGTCACGTTCAGGTCCACCAAAATGAAAATGTGACCCTTTTTTTTTTTTTTTTCCATACCTAGATGGACTTAGAGGTAATCAGTTGTATTGATTGAGCCCCTCACAAGGGCTGTGGAGCACTACGGAGCAGATGTCACCGATGTGATATTCGTGTCTGTGCAGTTTTTTGTTTTTTTTCTCTCCATCTGCAATTACCGAACCCCATGTCTGTCTATGGGGAATCTGATGTAAGCGGATATGTGTCCATTTACATCAGATTACCCCACGATCAGGTCTCGCGAAACAGATTCTCAATCCGTTTGTTTTTACGGCCCGGGGTGGGGGGTTGGGAGGAGTGTCTTGCCTTGGTGTGCCTGTATGTTTGTGCAAACGCACACTACTGACTAAAGCACACACAAGGGTGGCTCCATAGAGGCAGCAACCAACTAATCGATAATTTATTATTAGAATAGTTGTCAACTATTCTGATTATGGATTAGTTGGTTGGATCCCCTTGCTCTCTCCTCCATGCTGGGAGGAGGGCACAGCAAGCAGTGGGTGGGTGCAAAAGCTAGACTGCTAGTGCAATTTGAAATGGCCAATAGCAGGCTGGCTATTGCACCAGCCCACTACCTGCTGTATATACATTCAGCTGCCGTCTGTGGAATCTTGCCACCAGCAGCTGTCATTCCCGGGCTGAAGCTATTCAAGCGCCATGTGCTTACAGTACAATTATTAAAACAAAAATGATAAAAGATGGGGAAAAAGTCATTTTCAGTTTCGGCCTGACATTCTTTTGCAGGAGGTGCAATGCAGTGCCATTCACTTCAATGGCACCCCAAACACGCCTCCCATCCACAATGTGATCGCCTGCACTGTAACGTACGGTACCGCAATGCCGTGCACTTGCAACAAATTGTGCATGCAGCTTTATTCTAAAGTACACTTTGTAACACTCCATTTGTGTATTTTATTTTACATTAAGAATGGCATTTCATTTTTTTTATCCCATTAATGGAAAAAATAATCGGCCAACTAATCGATTATGAAAATAATCATTACTTGCAGCCCTAATCCAAAGTTCAGGAAGTCGACCCACCTCATATGAGCAGCTGTATGAAATCTGGCTGCAGTGGATTATGTGTAATACAGATTAGATAAGAGTGGACTTTATCACTTCAAGTAGTATTAAACTTCCAAACTTTCAATAATAATTCCAAGTCAAAAAAATACATTGCCCAGTAAAGTGTTTTTTTGTTTTTTGTGCAAGCACTGTCATTGTTTCCAAACAGTTTCAACTCTTTCAGCTCCGCTTCCCTGAGCTTTCTGACCAGTACAAGATAAGAGGAGACAGCTGTCCAGCTATTGGCATGGAGAAGGGAAGAGGGAGAAAGGATCATGGGGAGTGTCTTGTCTTGCTGTGTCTGTGTATTTGTGTAAGCTGTTTGCGCACACAAGGGTGGCTCCATAGGAATGTGCAAGGGAAAGGAGGCTCCCTAAAACAGGATATCTGGACCAGTGCTCAGGGGACCAGCTGATTCTGCAGGAAATAAGCTTTTAAACATCAAGGAGCAACATCCATTGTAAGTGATTTAGTTAGCAGTTGAAATAGCTTAAAAATCTTCTGACATTAATAACCTTTCAAATTATCATGAGTGAAGCAGAGTTAAAGGGTGAACTGTCAGTCACTGCTCCCTGCAGGGTTTCCCCCCTCCCCTCTCTGTTTCTCCAGTGCTCATTGGAGGGACAGACAGTGGAGGGGCAGGCACAGCTAGCTCTAGAGAGGTGGAGCCAGCTGTCAATCAAGTGGCGGGGTAGATCCTGACAATATATTGTTATGGTCTTTCCCGGCTGCAGCATGGCTCTGTGCTGTCAGCAAATATCGGGCAGTAGTCTACTATATGCTGACTTTGGGTCACAGGAGGTCATTGGCAAATTTCCTCCTGTGACCCAAAAGAGAAGTAAAGCCCCCCCCACCCCCCCCCAAAAAAGGTTTGGCGGTAGTTCTCTCAATAATTCCGCCTCTTTACATGTATACATAAGTGTATCCGTTTATATACTTGTCAATGATCTAGAACTGATATAACCGATATACTAATATACTGTACATATTATTGACAGGAAGATGCGTTTTTGTACTTAAACAGATGTATTTAAAATAATTATCTTAGACGTTTCCATTAACCAACTATGTGCTTAGCTGTTTGCCTGGAGTGCTGTTTTAACATTAAACAAGGTCATACAAAGTTGTGGTTCTAATGTTGGAGCCCTTTACCTTTTTAAAGCGGACCTTTTACCCCCTTTCACTAAAAATCACATCAGCATACAGCTCTGCATCCTGATATAAAATCATCCTACATTCATTAGTTAAACAAACTTGTTTTTCATTTACTTACATAGGGTTCATCTACTTCCTGGTCCACTTCTGGCACAAATTATGTAATTTGCCCAAAGTGTTGCATCCTGGGAATCCTGGGAATCTTGTCTGTAATCTCAGGGAAAGGCATTTTCCTCCCCTGAGATGATGTGCATGGTCACATGTCCTAGTCACATATCGGAGTTCCAGGAAGTAAAGGGAGATATATTTATCTGCCCTTAGTTAAAATGGCCACTGTCAGAAGACGGGATGAAAAGAGAAATAAGGAATGCAAAGAATAGAAAGCCGGCAATTATCTAGAAGTATGTGTATGTAGATTGTCATTACTAAACATTTCTAAAGGTATGTTTGTTGTTATTGTGAAGATATGAGTAAAGATCCACTTTAAGTAACCCTGGCTATAGCAGAATGCTGTTACAGAGCTCTAGATACAGCATTTTTTTCTGTAACATGAATACAGAACCTAAAATACTGCATGTTAATAGTATGACGTTTTCTATCCGAGCAGCAAGAAGAGCTCCTAGGCTCTTCACATTTTATTGGCATTCAGTTGTTTCTTTGATGACAGAAATCTGTCTACAGCAGCTCCGTGACCTCTTAAAAGTGTGCTTAGCCCTACATCTCAACAATGCAGACAATTGTGCCTCATTGCATGCAGCTCTGTCGCTGGCTCTTTTGCCAGCCCATAGTGCTCCGGAAATTCTTTGACGTGTTACATTGTTTTGTGAAACAAAGTTTTTTTTTGCATGCTATGGCAATAAAATGTTTTTTAAACTGGATTTGAAAAGTTTTGTTATTGGGGGAAAAAACAGACTCGAAGCCATTATATTTTCCGTAAAAATGTAAGCTGTTGGAAATTTTAATTTCAATAGTTAATCTTGTTAATTACAAAATGTTTAGCAGAATTGGGAAGCAGGCCTGCATGTGCTGTGACTGACACTGCAGGGTGTTATCTTTTTTGCTGAAATTGTAGCATTTTACTTTGTTTTTGTGAACCTCTCCATGTGGAAGCATTTTTTTTTCGTTGTTGGTGACTTTGAACAGTTGCAGAGTTTTATATGTTAGTGTATTTTATTTTGTGATCTTCTTTTCTTCTTCAGCTTCTCACGATGATTGATCCTTTAGAGAATGACCTCTTTGACATTCCTGATTATGAACATACAGAAGATGAGAATTTCCCCCCTCTACCTCCACCACACTCTCCTGGGGTCGGAGAAGACAACGCTGGCGATATGGAAAATGGAGGTAATTTTATAGCGATCACAGCGAGATATTAGCCAAATTTACTAACTACAATACACACAAGTCTTTTAAGTTTAGAATCTTTAAAGGAGAACTATGAGGTGAGTGCTTTTCACTCACCTCATAGTTCTAACCGACCTGTGACAATCACTGTCACAGGTCGGCTCAGTAGATCGGGAGGTGAGCGAACATATACCGGCGTTTGGTCACCTCTCGATCCTGTCACGCCTCTCTCTGCCTTGACGGGAGGGGCTGGATTCCCCCTTCCCCGCTCCGATCCGCCAGCGCTGGCTGGCGGTACGGACGGGGCGGGTACAGCTGGCTCTGTCTCTAGATAGGCAGAGCAAGCTGTCAGTCACGCAGCTGGGCGGATCCCGGCACACTTGTCGTGATCCGCTTTAGCTGCGGCCTCAGTATACCGCGAGCAGTAGCTCGCGGTATACTGCAGCGTCTCAGTTCAGCTCGCGGTATACTGAGCCTAGGGTGACGGGAGGACGCTAGTTTGTGTCCTCCCGTTACCCTAAGGAGAACTATGGGGAAAAGCCTTAACCCCAAGCCCCCCATCCCCTGCCTGATCTTGCTGTGTTGATACAGCAGCTCCCAGCAAGGACTTTGCTGTCAGTAAACCCAGCAGGGACTGGGTGGTACTTAGCTCTGCTGCTCTACTAGCTATGAGCAGCTGTGGCTGGCCAGCCCCCCCATCAAAAGTGCACTTTATCTGTTTGGCTCCTTTTAGGTGACGTCACTGCTCCCTCCCCCTGCACAGATGAATACTTATGAAGTTCCGGCAGGCCTGGCCTCTGTTGTTTACATAGTGCGGCGCATGTATTCTTCTGGCTCAGCCTGCGTGGTACATTCCTATTGACGGCTGTGGTGCAATGGCTTGGTTGTTAGAGGAGTTGCTGTCAAAGTGTTATATGTTTTAGGAGTATATGTGGCAGCACCTTCCAGTTTGTATTTGCAGGAACTCTTTTTAAATAAGGGCTCGGAAGCATCGTTTGTCATCTTGTGGAGGTTAATGAGTCGAGTGTTTGTAAATTGCTATAAAGCCCTGTCTCTAAAGAGGTGGAAGGAGACTCTTTCCTGGAGAGCCACTTTAAATATTTAAAGGGTTTAGATATGCAGCCGGAAAACTAGCATTTTCAGGGGGCAGTTCATAGATTTCACTCATGACAAGTGTATTTTAAGCTGGTTTAGGGAAAGACTACGAGTGATGTAAATCATGGAACCGCATCTACTAAAGAAAATGCATTTTAGGCCAACTTGGTCAATATCATTGTCGGTAAGAGAGCCTTCTGGACCTTTTTGCACCCGACCCTGACCCCTTTAGTCATCGCAACATTTCAGCCACGTGAAGGAAACTCTCTCATATGATTGGCACTAAAAGCCACGGCGTGGTAAGCCTCCTTTTTACAGCTGCTTTCTCATATATGGAACTTAATTAATAGTCTTATATTGTATTCACTTTCTTAGATGACTGGACTAAGAATATGGGTGGGACACAGCCAGAAGAAGCACCTAAACCTGCCAGGAGAGCAGTAAAGCGGCCACAGCCCAAACTGGATGCCAATCGGTAAGTATTTCTTGACCTGGATGGTGGGCAGAGTTCAGAGACCATATTTCCCCAATCTGTAACTTTATAATAAGGGATGTAGAAAGCAGCTCTAGGCAGATAGTGCACTGCCAATGCAAGAAATACTGTATGAAAAGTCAGAAAGTTTATGTTTTATCATCAGTTTAATGGCCAGAAAAACCTTAGGCACCATGGGACAGCCTGGTGTACACAAGCACTGCCAACACAAAGAACAAAAAACTTGGTTGGTAAGTTGTTGTACCCTGTATGGATTTTGAGGTTGTTTGACTCTAGCAAGCTATAGGATAATTGTCCTTAAAATTGCTACTAAACGTTTAGGATTCCAATTAAAATAATTTTTTGAAATGTTTGCCCCCTTTTTTTTTAACATGCAATTAGTGTACGTCGCCAGCATCGGGGCTGTTTAAACAGACTCTGTTTAAACTTGTAAAGCCGACTGTCGGCTTTACAACAGAAGCGATTCTGGCGACTTACCTGTCGCCAGATCGCTTCTGTGTCCCGAAGAAGGGGCCGCCCACCCCCGCCGTGCTTCCCGGGCTCCGTTGCCCCTCCTACCGGCCCGGGACCGGCGTCCTTGGTGTCCGCGGGGAGCTGGGGAGGAGGTCGAAGGAATATAACAAGGGTGCAAAAAATAGAAAGAAGGCCTCAGTCATGAAGGGGTTAAAAAAGGGGGCAAACTTTTGTCTTTACTGCTAAACTGGAGACAGGCACATTCTGCTGAAGTATGATGGGGGACTATCACGGCTGTACATCACTGTACCATTGATGGGTTGCCAGGTTTATTGGAATAAGCTGTATTTCCCAGCCGGACCTGTTTGAGCAATCCAGCTGCTAAGAAGACTTCTTTTACATTACATCTGATCTGTGCGTTCAGCTATTCTGTAATCTGTTTCTTTTATAACTAGGCCATTGGGATATAGTTTCCGTTGAGGATTAACCTGTGTAGAGTTTCCTGATCATTTATACCAGAATAAAATTCAAGTGGTTTAAGGTGAAGCCCCATAATAGAATTTCAAAACCTAGGTAGAAAATCATTTTCAGTTTCTTTTTTTTGTTGTCCTGTTGCCTTTAAATTGTGTCTTCATTTTTATTCTGTACAGGCTTACTTCACAGCGGGGTTTACCAGCTTTACGACATCTGTTTGAGGATACAAAGTTCAAAGGCAAAGGTCATGAGGTGAGGCCCCTCTTGCAGCTTCACGTTTGTAAAGGAGGTTTCTTCATTGGTGACCTGCTGCCCTTGGGTCCCTTATTGTGGCCCTTTTGAAGGTAACTCTATATAGGCAGAAACAGTGTAATGTCTCAGGTAGTACAATGCATCTCCTGTCCAGTTTCAGCAAGTGTATTGTGATAGGATAATATCTATAGCCTGAATGTCATTTATTAAACAAGAAAATCCACACATATTCAATTGAAGTCTCCTTATATAGTGCTGGCCAATATGGGTACTCGCACTCGCAATTAAGAAGATTGGAAAGTGAAATTTACTTGTCTTAGTCACAGAAAATAGCAGTTTCAGCATTATTTCCAGTGCAGTCCTCTGCGAGGCCCTTTGTCCTGCAGCCATGTATTTTACTGATACAGATTGTCAGTAAAACTAGCATCACCCCTTACAATCCATCTGCCATTTCCCCCGCTCGGGGCAGCTGTGCCTGCCCTTTCCCCCCGCTCGGGGCAGCTGTGCCTGCCCTTTCCCCCCGCTCGGGGCAGCTGTGCCTGCCCTTTCCCCCGTTCTTGTCTGGCAGAGAGAAAAATCTGGTTACCTCCCCTGCCAGACATGAGCAGAGATGAATTCCTTGGTAAGGATATGTGTATGCATTCTATGTACTTAGCTGTCTGCGCCAGGCATTCAGCTTTAATAAGAAAATAATGAATAATCATTTAGCACAACAGCAAAGTGATTACGCTCTAGGCATGGAAGGCTATCGTCCAGCAGAGGTAACATCTTGTAACTACATGCTCGTTGGTAACTGGGATGTGCACTGGTGTATTTTGGTCAAAGTGGCATTTTATTATTTGAGAAGCAGGGTGTTATCTCACTGAAATATTTAATATCTAGCGTTCATAGGAATATGTATGGAATTGCTATTAACTCTATAATGATTGAAGTTCCTGTAACCCTTTTGCTGGTGTTTTTTGCACACGTTATAATTCACATTAGCACAACTCTATCAAACTTAACATTTTTGTAAAAATTACACTTAAGTTAATTTTAGTGCCCAAAAACCCAATACCCATTTTTTTTAAAGTATAAAAAACAAGGTTATGCCAAGTGAATAGATACCCGGCATGCCAAGCATAGAACTTTGTGTGTCCATGAAACGGCAACAAAATAAATAACCTGAAATTGTCCATAGGTAACGCTTTAAAAGCCCGTACAGGTCATCAGCAGAGAGTGTTGGCGAGGGTGGGGGGCACGCTTCACTGGGGATCTGGTGACAGCTGTACAAAGCTGAACATAGTCCTGGTGGCTAAAGTCTGTTTAGAGGAGCCCACTGGCAGTGAAAGGGACCATGACAAATATTTAGTCCTGACCATTTTTACAAACATGATATTTTGGCTCCTATTTCTGGACAGAAGATTTGTCTCTTTGTATGGAAGAAGTTAGAGAGAACTATTTTAAGGCTTGGTAAGAAAGTATTTTTGAAAATGGCACCTACTCCGTTCTCAGTCTTCCCGAATTATTAATTGATGTGTAAACAGAACGATTCCAGCTGTCTGTACACGTTGTTTGTATAACTAGCTGCAGATAGTTCTCTTCGTGGCTTTGCCTGCTTCTAAACTTCCCCTGTGGCAATAAACAAGATTTGAACTTTCTCATTGACCATAAAATATGCTTTAGAAGCCTGATATAATAAACAATAGGGGGCATTTATCAAAACTGGAGCAGACAAAATCCGGAGCTCAGGGCAACCAATCAACTTCTGTCTCCTTTTCAAATCTTACCTGAGCAAACCGAAGAGAGATGCTGATTGGTTGCCATGGGAAACTGCTTCAGATTCTGTTTGCTTCACTTTTGATAAATCCCTCCAATGTGTATTTTGGGCTAAGTCCCACATGGTACTTGTTCTTTAAACTGAAGAACATATTGTTTAAGACAGTAGTAAAGGTGTCTAATGCTTCTTTTTTTTTTTT